TTGCATTTCTTCTTTTTGAAGGCCATTCCGAAGTTTGTTTTCTTAGACACCGTATACGGAATGAATGTACAGTTTTTCAAGCAGAACTTTTGTGCATTTATCTTGCCGTCAAATGGATCCTGGATCATGGGACAACATCCTCAAAGTACCTTATTTGTTCCGATTCTCTTTCTTCTCTTCAACTTTTGAACAGTATTACCAGCTGCGATAAATTAGTTATCGAGACCCTAGTAAGTTCCCTAGTAAGCTGCGATAAATTAGTTAATAATAATAAGACCCTAGTAAGCTGCGATAAATTAGTTATCGAGACCCTGTTAGTTCACTTAGAATTAGAGGTATTGATATCTGCTTTGCTTATGTGCGTGCTCATCATGGTTTCTACGGAAATGAAAGAGCTGATTTCTTAGCTAAAGATGCCTTAAATTTACCTATTGATATCAACATTAGCATTCCAAAGAGTTATTGGAAGTCCTTTCATTATAAAAAGCTTTTAGCTATGTGGAATGAGGAATACATTTCCTCTTGTAATGCTGAAGTCACCAAAAAGTTCCTTCCTTCTATTTACCATAGACTGAATTCCGAGTATTTCCTCTCGTTAAATTTTAAAGTGTCTCAGTTTTTATCTGGTCACGGTAAATTTGAAAGTTATCTGTTTCGTTTTAATCTACGATCAAACAATTTATGTGAATGTTCAAAAAGAGTTCCTCAGGATGTGGAACATTTGATTTTCTCGTGCCCTACATTTGATGGCCCTAGATTATGCTTACAGAACGATTTGAAAATGTTCGGAGTGACTTCGCTAGTGAACTTATCTGTTTTCGTGAAGTCCAGACTGCTGTTCTCTGCTTTTGTTCGCTTTATTTATGCATGTAATTTTTAATGTTTATTTATACATGTAACCTTTAATGTTCTAGTTAACTTACTTCTGTAAGCCCCGTGTTGTACATATGTGGTGCACGGGGAATCTGTATGTTCTCAAAGGGAAAAAAAAAACTATGAGGGAAAAAAATGGGAGAAGATAACATCGTAGAGGCAGTCATCAGAAGTTGGTTTTTTTGACAACGATGAGGATTGCGACCGTTTATAGTATTCGACATATGTAAAGAAATTGTCAGGCAGCTCTCCGGAGCCCCTCAGATTGATGAGCATTCGTCAACCGTGAATGTATTTTTCCGTTTTTGTTACTTAATTAATAACTCAGAAAGTGAATTTTAAAAATGTTTAATTAGTAGGAGTTTGGAAGGTTAATTTCTAAGTCATGAGCGGTTGATTTAATGGTAGATAAAATTTGAAATGTTAATGGTTTTCTTATTAATTAAATTCAGCTGTACTCAAAACGTATTCATATAAAAGCATACACAAAATAGAAATTAAGTGCGTAATACAAACTACACATTTTATTTATAGTGGTCTACCAGTCGCGAGGTCACGGCACCAGTTGTTACGTTAAAATAATTGTTTAGTATAAACTATTTGAAACTCTCTGACTGATTTATTTTCCTTATCTCTCCTCTATCCCGTGGCGGGGAAAAAAAAATAGATTTTAAATTACGTCCAAAGGGGCGATTTTTAACATTTCGTCTGTTACCTTTATTTATTAAATATCACGTTCTTCGCACTTAAACCATAAAATTCAGTTCAAGAGCAATATCGCAAAATAGTTTTAAATTGAACATATCTTTAGAATTTCCGATTCGCAGTCTCACGCGCTGGAGATAAAAATGTTTTTTCTGTACAACGTTGCCATGGCTCGCTTTGAAATCCTTGAGTTTGTTAATCAAAAATTTGCTAAAAATTTATAAAATATAAAATCGATAATAAAAACAAATTCCAAATTTCAAATTTGGCTTCCAGATGCCCATATTCGTAGAAGGATTACGTCATTCTAAATTCGATGGCTCTACGTACCGCTGTTTTATCACAATGCGAGAAATAGACATACATATATGCAGATTTTTCATTATTTAATTTTTTCAAATATAATGCAGGACTCTAGCATTTGGTGGGAACAGTTTGAAAAGTAAAACGGACATTTATAGTGAACCAACGCAAAATCGCAAAAAGAAAACAATAGTTTTTCAAGGACAAAACCCTTTTGGACTAAAAAAAAAAAAAAAAACCTCTCAAAATATATCTAAATTTCTAGAGACTGATGATTGTAAAACTAAGACTTACATAATAATCAACATAATTACATAAATTATCAACTTTAGTGAAATAAATGATATCATTTCAAATCTCAACCTCTTTAGTTAGTAATGAAAAGAAGTATCCTCCCTGTTGTTTTGGTGTAACAAAAATCAAAATGATTATTTATCCAACACAAATGCAAAATGTCAAAATGCATTTCAGTATCACTTCATCGAAAATGCTATCTCTCACTAAACTAAAGCTAATTCCACTGACTTTCCTGAAAACACATATTAGTACCACAACTATTAAGCACTTCAAACAGCCACTAACGTCTTTTCATTTAAATATAAACGCAGAAAACCCCGAAACACCAGGGAAAGATACATCCCCACAACTAAGAATCAAAGCACTGGTTCAATTAAAATAATAATCCGATCGTTTAAAAAAAAATAATAATCCGATCGTTTAAAAAAGTTTAAAAAAAATTAAATTTAGTTTCCAACTATTGCTACACAGGTTCGAATTGAAATAAATAAGCATGTTTTCCGTAAGGATCACATGGATGACTGCATAGACCACCATATAAAACTCATAAAACATATAATATTAAATCATTAAAATATTTATTAAATTTTCTAGAATATTATAATTTTAGACAGTTGGCCAGATTACCTCTACAAAAAACATTATCTAAAAATTACTCATAATTTTACATTTGACATTCTTAACAACGATCAGTATTGTACCCAAATTATTCGTAATGAACTTTACCGTAATTGTATAATTATCACTGAACAAAACTCAATTTGGTTTCAGCAATTTCTCATATTTTAATACTTTTCAAATCCAACCAAAATCACAATGAAACCACCTTACAATTACTACATTCTTTAAAATAGTTACTCATGAATTTAAACTCACATTTAAAGCTAATTTTGAAGAACATACAAATATCCTTCACCAATAAACCAGCAATAATTTCATCTTCTGACACTGACTAATTAATTAAATTTCTTGATATAATATTCTATAGACATTAAATCAGTGACAATTCCTTTTAAGAAACATTAAGATTTTTTATTAAATTAATTTAACTCATCTCAATTAAACATTTAAAAAGAATCACTGTCTCAATTATTAATTAAGTAGCCAGAAACATTTTAAATTTTTAGCTATCATTAAATCGACTGCTCATGACATGGAAATTAACCTTTCAAACTCCTACTAATTAAACACTAAAAATTCACTTTTTCAATTATTAATTAATTAACGAGTAACAGGCAAAAACGGAAAAATACACTCACGGTTGGAGAATGTTCTTCAGTTTGGAGCTCGGGGGAGATGCCTGATAATTTGTTTATATACGTCGAATATTTATAAAGGGCCGAAGTCTTCATCGTTATCAACAACCCAAAGTCTGATGACTACCTCCACCATGTTAGCTTCTCCCTTGTTTTTGTCCTCATAGTTTGCGCACAGTACTCTGTCTAAGAAAAAATCAGCCTTGCCCGATGATGGCACATTAGGAAGTCCAGTTTAGACGAATGTCCGCAAACTTCAACCACTACACCAACGATCTTTTATTCCCAATGAGGATAACAGCAGGCAATAGACAACTGGAGATGACAACCCACCCGTTTATAAAGTTTTCTCTGAAATCTGGAGACGCAGCAGGAACACCCTGAATTATTTTCCAACAACAACAACAAAACAAAACAAAAAAAAACAAAAAAAAAAAAAAAAAAAACAGCGAAGGAATTAAAAGAAACAAAAATCTCCGAGAAGCTTGTCAGGAAAACTCAAGATCTAGTTCAGGTCTTCCATCACAATCTCCGATAAATGTCACAATGAGAGTCCCCAGCACACTCGGTCCGGTCCCCGCAACTCGCAAACCACGGGGAGGCGGTAAATTACATCCGCTTTGTTCATTTTACATTTCTTTGGTAAAATCAGCTAAGAATTCCTAAAAATCCGGAAAAATCTTCTCCTGCTTCTTGTGCAACAACTTTGAAACTCAGCAACGTTAAAACGCGGACGCTTTTAAAAATCACTATTGGCTCAAAATAGTTAGAAAATTATATGTACTCAATCCAACCCAAAACTTGAACTCTCTCTAACTAACTGGAATAAGGGCTATAATTAACCTCCAAATTTCCAGAAAACCTAACCTCCCCTTTTAAAGTTGCCGCGGAAACATCAAGAAAGTTTTCAGCCGTAATTCTATAAGGTATTTCTCCTGTCTTCTTAGCATGCCTTCGCAGTGTAGTGGTCAGCACACTCGGCGCGTATTTGAGAGGCTCGTGGTTCGAGTACCGGGAAAGACGTTGCTCGTTTTTCATCTTTCCGGCTAAAAATACCTTATGTCTCTACAGTGGCGCCCGAACAAAAAGTATGGTGGATGATGATTATCCCCACCAGGATTTGGCGAGTGGTCCTTCTAATCCCCAGTCGCCCTTTGGAAGGGGGGTATATAAGGTATTTCTTCCGCCTTCGTAGTGTAGTAGTCAGCCCTCTCGGCGCGTATTCGAGAGGCCCATGGTTCGAGTCTCAACGAAAGCGTTGCTCATTTTTCATCTTTCCAGCTTCCAAAAGAATTAATGTCTCTACAATTCAATGAAAGTTGCGATGGTCGTAAGTAATAAACCTATTACAAAATTCTCTTCAGAAAAGCCGACGCATTTTTTTTTGCTTCGAATTAAATAATAGAGCACAATGAATAGAATTACGTAGAAGAATGGAAAAAAGCACAATAATAACAACAACAACAACAACAACAAAAAGTGTTTTAGTAGATCTCCATTACCATTGGCATCATGTAGAATTCCGTCGCCATGGTAACAACGTTGAGTCCAATAACAGCAGCAATTGCCAGATCAAAATATTTACTAGTGATGATGTTATGAGTGAGAAGACGTGGTTTCGAATAATTAATGTAGTATGGAGGTTCTCTCATTTCTGAAGAAAAGAAAATGAAGTCATATTAGCCTTCTACAATGAGGAGTAAAGAAGAAAAGGGAAAACGAAATGATATTAACCGGCTACAATTAAACGCAAACAGAAAAGAATACAGCAAGACAAATATAAATAAAACTATACTACATGTAAGTATACAGAAATTTATGTAACATATCAGTACAGAATTAAAATAGTATTTTCTATGTGAAACTTGCTCTCCGTGCATTATCTACTTATTTAACACGTATTTTATCCTCCCACAATTTTTCTCATCATTGCTAAGATGCAGACTAAGATAGATCTTTTAAAATCATTCATACGATTTCTCTTTTAGGAATCTACTTGTATATAATTAAACGACTTCATTTCTACTAAATTTATGTTGCACTTTTGAAGATTATTTTTTCTTTATATTAATGGAAAGTAAGAATTTTTTTGAGAAAAAACAGGTAACGTGGACCGCATTTTGTTTAAATAATTGGCGAAACATTAATTATTTTTTAGAAATTTAAGAATATGAATTTTTTAAAATTCAGTAGTAATATTTCATAATTAGGAAAAATAGATGCTATTTTTTGAGAGTTGAACTTTGAAATTTCAGCATTATTAACTTTAATGTCTAGTGGTAAACGAAAAACAACATACTATTACAAAAATGAACTTTGAAAATTAGGAAAAAATAGACTTTAAATTAATGGTAATAATATTTTATGCAGTAATCATTTTTAATTACTGAGTAGAAATAATTTTTTGATTCAAAACTGTACAAATGTGTGTAATATTAAATATATCACAAAACTTATTTTTAGCTAAGAATACATAAAGAAATATATCAAAAATGCAATTTGGACCTGAGTAGATTTAAATACTATATGATTTTTAATTGTATATACATAACATATATATCGATTAACATTCACTTAAACATTCACTTTAACCGCATGCTAAATATCTGCAAAATACAAGACAAAATAAGCAAGCATCTTTTATTTATGCTATCATGCTAACTATCACTGTACACAGTAACACAACAAGTCACATGACAGCACATCACTCACTGCTTGACACACACACATACTGACTGGCTTTTTACTTAACTGAAAATATCTCTGAAAGAGGGCTAAAGCCTTCCACTCCTAAAGGATGTGAAGACTCTACAGAAGGGTAATTAAATAAAAGAATAAATGGACTACTGACAAGGCTGAAATAGAGAATATGATTATAGTTCATGAAGTCCAAAAATGGTTCAAGAGTTAAACAACAGAGGTGTAACATTGTACTAGAAATGCTACAGTTTAAATTTCCCTTCCCAGAAAAGAAAAAGAAATACTTTTTTAAAAAACTCGCACAATTTGTTAAATCTTAATTAATGTCCTCAGACACAATTAATGAAAGACATAAGGAAATCTATTTTCGAAGGTATCGTTCTTTAAATCATAAATGTTTGTGTAATTGTATAAATAACTATTTTAACACTAGGCTTCAAACTGTAATCTGATTTTATGCATAAAAGATCCAAATTTGACCAAAAAAATTCTCTATTTCTTACTATCGCGAACGTTCTCCTACCTCTGTGATTGTCTGTAACTTTAACGGGCTCTTAAGTTTGGGTTTCGAATTGTAGAACTTTTGAATGCGTAGTATATTTTGTGAAACACTATAAAATGAGCTTATAACTTAAATGCTTTATTACATGTTTTCAAAATATTAGATTACTGTTATGAATTCTGATGAATTTTAGGTTTAAGCAAAGAAGATATTCGTCGTTTGCGGACTCATTTATAGAAATGGTAGAAGAAGTTTGTTTTCAATAATAATATAAATAATACAAAATCGGATTTCAAATGACTGAAATCTGGAAATTTTTGCAACACTACATTTGAAACAAATACATAATTAAAATGCATTCTTGGGCCTCATATGTATGCTTTATGGGCTATCATAAAGCATTAGAAAAGTTTCAAATATTAATGTTCACTTCCTCTTAAACGTTAAGTACTTTAATACTTTTATTTAAAGTTTTATAAATATTGCATAACAGTAGTTTGGCAAAGCAGAATTTAATCTGTCACATATCAGATCACATAATTTTCCAGTATTCGGCAAAAACTATCCTATCAACATTTTATACCACATCTTAAGATTGTTACATATTATTACTTTTACTAAGATTAGTTTTACTAAGAGTTCTGCAATAATTATTTACAGACCGTGACAAATAACTAAATTCAACTAAATTCAGTTAAGAAAGTCTTAAACTCGTTTTAATGAACTTAAACATTCTGTTACTTGAATTACTGTAGTATAGCTTTAAGAGAATAATCTAACCTCATTCCTCTTAAAGCCAGTATTGAGTTGACGATTTCGCAGATTTCCGAAGTTGGATTATTTAAAATAATTTTATTGCTTATATTTGTAAAATATTTCTTCCAGAGCTATTACCATAGCTAAGAATAATGACCGTTTATTTTTTTCACGAAATGTGAGTGACATTTCAATTGGAAAAACTTAAAACAATGGATTTTACGAGTTATAAATATTTTAAGCTGGTGTGGTTGCATCTGTTAAAATGAACTGTGTCGAGTTTAGACATGTAGATGATATTTATGATTCGCATTCTTGAAACAGTTCATTAATACAATATTCAAATTAATAATATATACGTCATTATAATATTATGCAGATAAAACAAAAGAAAAGAAAATTTTTATGAGTTTGAAGTATTCTTAAATAATAAAGAAAATGAAGATCTCTCTAACAACTGCCAGTGACTCTAAGAATTGCGTTTGGTATCTAAAATAACGACAATTATAAGACCATTCAAAATCGTTAGTTTAGCATTTTCTCTTGCAGATGCTACCTTTGTAGTAAAATGAGTGCAATATAGGAATCGTGGACTAAGTGCAGTTCTTGCAACATGCATATCCGCCACCACCATATTCGAAACTAATATTATAATCTTTCGTGTGCATAGAAACAGGATTTCAGAAGATTCAGTGCTAAAACAATTGGCAAAGGTATTTGATATTTAACGAAAACATGCTATTTTATGTGTTATTTCAACATTGTTAAACATTTAATTATCTGGTTACACTCCACAGTAATTCGACTAATTAAAAAAGTTTCTGATTTTTTAAAAGCTTGTTAATAAATATATGACACAGGTAATAATCTATTTTGCAAATGGTTGCATTTGATAGCAAACTTATAAATTAGGACTTTTATGGCTTACCTTATAGTCTGTGAAACATACTTTCAGCTCTGGATGAAGCTGGTGCTCAAATACACAGATAAATGTTTTTAATTATTTTTTAAATGATTTTTACATCTAATCTAAGGCTTTTGTAAAACTTAAATAAGCGAATAACCAATTATTTTAATTAGATGTCAAAAGCCTGTTTGGCTCCTTCCATTGTGGAAAAAAACGTACGAATTCATCAGCCTTGCCAAAAGAAAGCCAGACTCAGAAACAAATTACGAACCCGCTTCCTTCATACTTCGTCTTTTCCTTTCCAGTTTCTTGGCTCGTTTGGCCGCGCGGAGAGCTTTTTCCTCTTTTTCCTGCTCTTCGCGACATCGGTGGAAGTTCTCCACCACCACCCCAACGAACATGTTAAGCACGAAAAATGCCACCAGCAAAAGGAAAGAAATGAAGTACAGAAGGCGCCATTCGTTGTAGTTCTCAATTGGCTGCAAGCAAGTTAGAGAAAGGGAAGTAAATTAGTCAGAATTACAATGATAAAATATTACTGGACTAATGAGTTAAAGAACAAGATCGAGAAAAAAGTATGGTAATGTTCAAAAGTTAAGAAATAAAAGCACTCCTGAAAAATAAACTCCTGACGATGAAAATTTAAAAAAAAAAGTACTGAGTTTTTTTAATAACAAATAGAAATAACAAATTTATAAGATATTCATAAAAACATTTATTGTTTTTATGAATATCTTAGAAATGTTAAAATTCATTAGACTTTACATAATAAACCTTACCAACTTATGTTATTGAATTTTGTAAAAAATATAAGGGCAGCGCAAAAATTAAGAGTACTCACGGGTCAATGAGAGCTCTCATGGGTATAATAATCGTCCTGTTTTTCAAATTTCTTATCTTTGTTGGAGGGAAAGACTTCAACATTTGAACACTGCATTGGTGGTAGATAGCAAAAGTGTTAATATCAGTATAAGATGATTGCGCTAACGGCAACGTTGAAACACGAAGTGTGATAACGTTTCTGCATCTAAAGCGAACTTCATCAGCAGAAATGTTTTGTTAACTTGTTGAAATGTATGCTGTTAATATTATACAACAAATTTAGTTTTGCTGCGCTGATTTCGAAAAAGGAGAATATATGTCATAGATGACATGATTTGGTCGGCCGAGCTTGCTCACCTGAAATGACGATGTTTCTTTTTTAGAAAATGATTCAAGAAGATCATTGTATTTGTCTCAGTAATATTGCTAAGGAACTGAACACCTCAAAGGGACATTCAGGATATAATGGATTACCGGAAGACGTGTTCATACTGCGGGTCTAAACAGTTGAAAGAAGATTATAAAGCCGGGAGGATGGGATTTTTCTTAAGTCTTTATATAGTAGTTCAATGAAAATTGCAACGAAATAAGTATTGTCGCCTCCTTCTAAGAAATTTCAAACATTTCCATCCACAAAGAAAGTTTACGCAACGGTCTTTTGAGATCACCATTGCCTACTGCTGGTTCGTTTTCTCATTAGCGAATAGACAGTGAACACTGTCAGGGGTTGTACCACACAAGAGCGGATGCGAGTATAAATTTGCAGAAAACGATAAGCACTTCATTCCAAAGGCGTTTTGTTGCTGCTTGAGAAAGTTTTATGGATGATTAATTTCAGAGCTTCATCTGCGAGGTACTACCTCATACTCTCTGCAGTCCGAATTTCTCACCCAGTCATCTCTTCGAACATTTAACAAAGCACTTGTTTGGTAAGCGATTGAAAATCATTTCGTAAGTTCAGCAAGCTGTTATAACAGGGTTTTAGGCGCTATACAGACAGTTTATCAACTTTACAGGCACTCTTGTGCCCGGACCAAACAAATGAATAGATATATAAGACTTTATTTTGAACTCCTGGCGAGGCATGTGATTAATCTGAATTACATAAAGGCACATGCGAGTTTTAGTGGAAATGAGAGGGCGGGCGCATTGGCCAAAGAGGCTATTATACAAAATGACAGTGAAATCTTTGAGCTGCAGGGTCGATGAGGAGGCCGTGAACCTTATTAAGAGTTATACCTATAAATTAGGATAGAAAATGGGAAATGTCTGACAAAAATCAAAACTATATGAGACTGGTGACAATAAAAAAGAGCAAACATATAGTGAAATAGATTTAAATAAAATTTAAAAAGATAATGGGCATTTTCTTATATACTTTAAAAGATTTAACCTTCAACACTCCGACTTCTGCTGCAGCTTCAATAAATGTAAAGCTTGTCCATTTCAATGAATGCAATAGAGGTGCTTAATACTTCGTGGAGACCTCTCCACTTTTAAAAGCTATTAGGAAAGATTTTATCATCAATGAAACTTTCAACGTGAAATGTAATTTGAATTCTACTTTAGTGTGTGTGTTACGTTTGTACCTATAACTGGGACAGCCTAAATAAGCCATAGGGCCACCTTGTAGTCAGGTGGGCGGATTGCTCTTCCCAATAGGAGTTATATTATTTTTTAAATTTTCGTAGCATATAAAGAAAGAGGAACCCTTATAGCATTACTTGAACACAGCATTTATGAAAAGAAAGTTTGAAAACGTGTCATGGTAAGGAAGAAAATTTGGAAATCCTAAAGTAATACGTTATTTCCAAAATTAATTTTCAGAAAATGTCATATGGAAGTAGGTAGCAAATAGTATAAGGCTGTGATAAAATTAAACAAGAAATAATTGTAAATTGGGTAACCCTGTAATCTGCAATCTACCGCTTATAGATAGTTACTTATATTTTAGATGGTGGCAATAAACTTGGTTGTATTTTAATAATTCAATTTTCCTACCATTTTATTACACTTTCGAATTTCAAGATATCGTTTTAGTGGCGATATCTAAGAAATAAATAACTAACTATAAGTGGTAGATCGCATACAATGTGATTACCATAAATTAGTTTTTCAAGAGATTCCCAAAGGAATGACCAGTAATAATAAAATTTGCCTTGAATAACAAATATTTTCTAAACTTCCATTGCTTGAATGAGGAATTAGTGTTTTTCGGAAGCAGGAAACTTGAAAAATCAATTATGTCCTGGCTGAGATTCGAACTACAGTCTTCTAATTGCAAGTGGATGTGCTAACCACATACCACACGAACACACATAGGCAGGTAATGTGACTAGAGAGAAGCACAAAAGCCAGCCAACAAAATCCAGCTTGTGATGAGTCATCGGTTACCATATTTTTCGTTTGGATCATACCGGTAGAGACTGTTAGGTTTTTTTGGATGCAGAAAATGTTAAAAAATCAACTACGTCCTCGTTAAGTTTCAAACCACGGATATATTAGTTGTTAGATGAGCATGATAAACACTCACGTACACGCGAGAGAGCGCATGAGAGATGCCGTAATTCTTTACAAATTTATTAATTAAAAAAAATAATCCAGCTAATATAGAATAATTAACAGAATGTAGCTTAATTTAATGGAAACAATGAACAATATTTTTGTATGCGTTTCACTTTTTAAATAATCATCATATGTTCTTCTATTCAGTAAAATCAGCTTTGGTATATTCGTCGTCATTAGATATATGATTTCGTTTCATTACTTTGTTATGAAAAGACATTTAAGAATATAAATAGCTGCAACGCTGATATTTAACAAATAATACTGAAAACACCGCATGGAAGCACATTTTCAAACAGTAAATATTTGTTACAGTCTTGTCGCTGGACAGAAACATTACAAGATTATTTCAATACAGGATTATTAAGGAATGATCTCGACTTAGTATATTTCCCTAAAAAAAACAAATGAATGTTAAATTTTGAAAGAAACGTTAAAAATACTGTAGAGTCGATAAACGATTCATTGATTTTTGCAGACGCTATTTTTTTCCTCTCGAAGGAAAAGGTGTCATGAAATTTTAAGCTAAGCATTTCACATGTAAGAAGAAAATATAAATTTACATACAATTAACATATAAATACAGCATATAAACAGTAATAAACAGATAAAATAACAAACGCTTTTAAGGTGCATTTGGATACTTCTGTTCCTTAAAAATAAAGAGTTACGAAAGACAAAAGACTTCTAGGATAAAATTTTTAACATAAATGTGAATGCAGGTCCCAGATGAGGAGTGATTCACTGTTCAATTAAAAATTGTTCAGAGCAACTACTCGAATCTAGAAGCTAATACATCACGAATTATGTCGATAAAACAAATCATAATAACTGCTCCTTTACTTATTTTCAACGTGTGTCTAAATATACATATAGATTACACATAAACAACACACAAATATGCTTGGTATAAGAAGCATGGTACGCAGTATAATTAATTAACACAACACAGCTGTAACTAATCAAACAATAGCTTTACTCAAACCCAGTATACTATTTAGAAAACGTTAAAACTAAACTAGTAGTTAAGTAGATCTTAAATATAAGACAACAAGCAGTGAAATGAAATGTATTCAAGAATTCTTTTCTAAGCTGGAAAAGCAGTGAGTTCAGTTTCCTTAGCGGAAGTCCGCTTGATGGTGCTTAATGATATTAAATAGCCTTCATTACTATGGTAATATAAAAGTGTACAAGCAAAATTTAATGTTTAATTTTTTACCTTAGAATAGTATTTAAAATATGCACGATGGTGTCAAAAATGATGAATATTAATTAATTATCAACAATTTTATTATGATGTTTCTAAGAATAAATGCAGTTTAGAAGGTATGCATACATTATAATAAACAATATTATTCACTTGTAAAAATAGCACAAATTTCATGTCGGAAAACAAAATGAAAAGTTTTGCGTAGCAAAAGGTCATTAGAACAAAGAATATTTAATATAATATTAAACAGCTTGAATAACTACTGAAGTATCCATCAACTAGAAGACAACCTATAAGTCTTGTAAATAATCGTTATATTTCACTAAAACACATTTAGAGATAGAAGAACAATTTCAATATAAAATTACAGCTAAATATGTAATTCCTTTAAAATATATTCACACCTGTTATTCTAAAATAAACAAAATTGAAAAATTAATGCGCAGGTGATTATATATGTATTATAATTCTTAATAAAATGCACACACCTGTTGATCAACGCCAACTGCATCTAAACCAGTATACATGATATTCACCCAACCATCTTTCGATGAAAGCACGAACAGTGCCATCAAAGCCTGAAGAAAAAAATAATCTTAATTACATTTTGGTAATTTTCAAGTAGATGAACTAAATCTATAATTTTCCTCTTTCATACGCAGGCACACTCATTGAACTTTGACAAGCTTAGTTAAAAATGATTATTCTTAAAAAAAGTTTTACATTTGGACTAGTAAATGAAACTGTTATTTGATCAATGCCTCAAAACTACATAAGTATTAAAAGTTTTCAATATTAGGGCTTCAATTTATAAAATATTTCTAGGGAATTAACAGAGATGCTTTTTGATTAAAATCTTAACAGCTTGGAAATAAAAACAGAGATGAAAAAACATATTTTGTTACATACAAAAGTTAATACGCATTCAAGGTTATTTTTCATGTTTGTTTTTGTTGATTAAAACATTTACGTAAGTGTGCGATATCAGTTTTTGTATATCTTCGCGACAAAACCTACACCAGGCCATCAGACCAGTCTATCATATTAAATTTAAGTCCATCAATCGCCACAGACTTCTTGATTTAAAGTTCATCAATCGCCGAAGAGTTCTTGATTTCTTTAGTCACGACTTACTCATCAAAGTTTCACCTTTCTTGAGACTCAAGGTTTCATGATAATTTAGTTCTATTAAATTCTAATGAAGCCAAGAATCCACTATCACTTATTCAGTCAAGAATCAATATCACTCATGCAATATTTTAATCAGGAATTGCTCGCTGCGTTTTGACATTCAATTTAAAGAAATCCAATAACAGAGTTAATTAAACATTATGTAAGAGCATGGATTTCATTAGATTTCTTTACATAACGTTATAAGAAATTGTCTGGGTGGATTGAAGAACTACTAGGAGCTACTAATTTATTATGTATCTATTGCATAATTAAAGCTTTCCCTTCAATGCTGTTTTTATTTACAACCTCTTTGGAGAGTAGTTAAAAAAACCGCCCTACCATTTTCTGCATCATTTGAGTATTATCTGTAATTGTCTAGTGTGGTTTACGGATACTGTTAGAAAATTTGAATTTGGGAGGTGAAAATAAAATTCCTTACTTGTCCCAGGTTATCAAAGTTGTAGCGTTGATTTACCCATTGGTTTCGCTCATCCGATTCGCAGTCTGTTCTGTTCTTTACATGTCTTACATCAGGCCCTTCACAATAGTATAAGCTGCCTTTAAACAACTGCAAGGTATAATAAATTTAGTCGGAAAACAGAAACTGAAAATAAACATCCTTAAAAATTATCAGAATATTTTGTAAGCAGAAAAACTAAATTACAATAAATATGTTCCACTTCTTATAAAAGTACTGAGACATTTACGTTTATGTTTTATTAAAGATATGTTATTTAATTTACATCTTTCTTCTCAGCCTCATTTCGCCACAAGGCTCACACATTACAGAATTTGCGCACAATTTGAGCTTTGAAGTAGGTTCCTTATAAAAGTAGAATTGCGCATAGCTGTATGTGACAGCTTTAGTCTGCTTACTGACGCTGCTTTGCCGTGTAAAGTTTCGCTCTCTGCTGGCAGTTCTGACGCTGATCTTGAATTAAATACACTGCTCAAAACAATTATTACGATTTTAGATAAAAGTGTGGGTGAAGAAATGTTTTAGTGATTGATATATGATGCATAGATTTTGTAAGATATGAGAAAAGAAACAGAAACAACGAACAAGGAACAATTAAATTTTATTGATGATATTTGTTAGTCAACAAAAAATGCAAAAGTTGTGCATAATATGCAAACAAAAAATTGTAATATCTCGGATAAAAATGAATTTCAATAACAGATATTGTTTCCCTTGATCGAAAGAGGTATCGTTTGCTGACTTTCTTCCACTCCTATAGAAGAAAGCTTGTTTCTGAGGGTGATGATAAACTATTAGCAACCCTTCTCCTTAGAATGTCTCAAACATGTTCTGTTGGGTTCATATCAGGGAAACATGCTGGCCAATCCATTCGACGGATTCCTTCGTCGAAAAGGAAATCAGTCTCCAGAGCGGATCACGATGTGGCCTGGTGTTATCATTCATGAGAATTAATTAATCTTCGATTGCTGAAATGTAAAGGACCACAACGGCCTGAGAATCGCATCCCTATACAGCTGATCCGTTAGTGCTCCATTTCTGATAATATGAAGGTCGGTGCAGCCATTGATAAAAATAGCAGCCTAGACCAGCACACCGCTTCCGCCAAATCGGACACTTTCATGCACAAATGCAGAAGTACTCCGTATACTAGGTTCTCTCCAGATGAGAATCCGCCTATTGTAGGGTTGTACACTAAAGCGAGACCCGTCTGTGAAGAGCACCTAGCTCCACTTATCTCATTCCTATCTGAGATGCTCATGTGTTCACTGTCTGCGGACAGCACAATGGCACTGTGTCAGTGAAACATTGCCATAAGTCTGCGAGCATACAATGGAGTCGATGTCGAATAGTCTGAGTAGAAACTCTGGTACCAGTGGCCCTCTGAAGGTGCTAGAAAGTAGAGTACATAATGCGGTTTCTTCTAGCCATTAGTGTTAAATACCGATCCTCATTATGTGTTGTTGCAGGAGTACGATCTTGCCTGAAACATTTCCAGTTTCCCAAAACTGATTCCATAGTCTGCAAAAGACAACTTTGAGAAACTTCTAACGCTTTCTTCATAAGGAATTGCGTTTGACCCGATTCTAAGTGACCTATTCAGCTTAGTCTTCTTGCTGGAACATCGTATTCATCGTTACAAAACATTCAACGCATGTGAATTGCTTTTAATCTCTTTCTACAGAAGGAATGCTGCATGTTCCTTTTCCCTCGTTATCTAAAACGCTTAGTTTTCAGAGTCACAGACAAAATTTGAATACTTTGTGAATTTTATAATTTTCTTTTTTAACCTATTCCATCTAATTTTTGTTGAAAAAAATGTCTATTGTATGGCTATTTCATATCGAACTCACAATATTCCCTAATTGTGTTGAGCAGTTTGGTATGGTGCGTGGATGGATATGGGTTGGTAAGTTGTGCATTGGAATTCTGTCGCGATCTAGGCAAAGCGCTAGCCTTTGATAAAATTAAATTAAATTGTTTTAATTTATGAGAAATTCAAGGAAGCTTGTCTTTAATGCCAGGTTCAGGTGACTACTAAATTTGAGTTGTAAAATTTTAGTTTAACCTTCATAAATGGTTAGGTAGAATAAATTTAAAGTTTTCTTATTTTTTCGTCTTTGGTTTTTAGTGTTAATTATAGTAATGATAATTCACCCCACTGAATCTACCCAGCACCTCAACTTGATTGTAAAATAAGCTAACATAGTTGAACACAAGTTAGGTATTAGAACTGGCATCTATGTGAAACATTTTAAAAAAAATCTTCGAAAGGTTTTGCAAAAAAATTTCGTTTTGTGTAAATTTAATTTGGTGGTAGAGAAAGGTACGGAAGTGATAAGTAACGGCACAAAGACCAGGTGAGGCTGCCCTGTTAGATAAAATTATACTTCAGGCAGGGAAAGAACGTCTTAGAAGGATTTGACTGTTAACAGATGCTTTCTGGCCGATAGTCAAACATAATGTTGTATTTGGGGGAACATGGTAGGTATTGCAGTTTTTTGAAGCAAGATGTGAAGGAGTTGTAGAAGGTAGTTGTAGTCCCATCAGTTTTAAAGGATCAAGCTTTGCAGTGGTATAAATCTATTGTAAAAGCGCTTTTAGGCCTAGTTATGCACCGAGTTGCTCGTACAAAGCTTTCAAACAAGTTATTTTAAAAGCATTTGAACCAGTGAAAAAAAAAGTTAAGCTGGAAGCAGTTGTATAGTCGATTTCAAAGAGAGGATGAAGAATAAATGTATACTAAGAAAAAGGGAATTTCTTAAATAATTATAAGGACATGAGCAGGAGAATACGGTTTCGAAAACAGTGGTTCCGTGATTGCTACCAAAAGTGCAGGATTTTGTAGAACTAAGAGCCCCCAAGCATTAAATTACTTAGTTCAATTGGCAACTAAGTGAAGAAGTAAGCGTATAAAGACAGAATACCAGTAGACACGAACTGGGTTTGGTACAAATACAGGATATAGGGCCTGCGAGCAAGGCTAAAGATTTCTGTCTAGGTATAGAAATAGTGAAGTTCTCCAAGAGGGGTGAAAGGAAATCGCAAAGGCAAGAATTCGGAGAAAAAGATAATGCTGAGAGGAAGGGCCAGAATGAGAATTTAAATTAGAAAGGAGCGCAAGAAAGGGAGATCAGAGATTCATCTGCATCCCATATTAATAAAAATTCTTCTAAGACAACGCTATTGTAGTTAACAATGTCGAGTTGCCTCAATTACAGTCAGATTTTTGTTTTCAAATAATTCCGTAATAGATTATTTGAAGTGCAAGGAAGTGAAATATTATCTGAACAAGGTGGGCAATGTTTGGTACCAGGTAGCATTACGTTTAGTGTAAAAGTTAAAAATTAAAAGCAAAAAATGGTGTTTATTATATATAGATGTTATTTTAGGGATGGATTCCCTGCAAAAAAAGTAAATCACAAATTAGCTTTAAAAAGAAGAAAAATATTAACAATAGATTAAATAGAAAGAGCGCCTAAAATTAAGTTGAAACATCTTGCAGAGAAAGACAAGAAGGAAATATGGAAGTCATAGTAGAATTTTCGGAATATTTTAGAGATAAACCTGGACTAACTCATGTAGTAAACCACGAAACTGACATAAGACAAACTCTCTTTGCGGATCAAAACCTTAAAAACGTGTTAGAAAATAAAGTAATAAATCTAATAGTGGCCTTGATCATGCTCCTGTTTTAAATCTGCCAGCTTCAGAAAAGACCTTACAAATTTAAATGGATGACACTGACTTTTCAACAGAAGCACTTTTGGTACAAAATGGGCACAGAGCGTATTTTAACAGAACTATGAGCCTGGTGGAAGGAAATTATTCCGAGACTATATTTTCTTCCTGATTTCTGCATGCCTTCGGGGTGTAACAATAGCTCACTCGGCGCGTATTCTGGAGGTCCAGGTTCGAGTCCCGGCGAGGGCATTGCACATTTTTCACATCTCCTGCTTCAAAAAATCCTAATATCTCTACAGTGGCACTCGAACTAAAAGATGGATGATGATTCTTCACCGCCAGAATTTGGCGATTGGGACCACTTATCCCCAGTCGCCCTTTAAAAGGTGAAGTAATATAAGGTATTTTCTCCCTCTTCTGCATGCCTTTGTGGTGCACACTTGGCGCGTATTTGAGAGGTCCAGGTACGATTCTCGGCGAGGGGATTGCTCATTTTTCTCGTCTCCAGCATCAAACTATTTCTACAACTAAACGGGAAGTACTTGCATGGTTTTGTGCAGTGAAGAAAACCCCTAAATTTTGTTTCGGAGAAACAGGTTGAAATATTCAAGGATTATGCGGTGCTAACAGAAGTTGAAAATGCAAAAATGTAACGACATAACGATTAGTTAGATCTTAAAACTTCAGGAATACATTTTAAAATATTCGAACATTTCTCTGAGAGGGAAAATAAAGAAACGGATGCATTATCAAGAATTAAATTTAAGGAAAATGAAGTTAGCAAAACGCAATAAATTAACATATGTCATTTTTAATTCAATAGAAACTCTAGTTAAGAAACTAAGCGGAACTCAGAACTCTCACAAATTTATGCATATCTCACTCTTTAGATAACGCTCATCTTAACTTACTTCATTTTTCATTTAACTGATGTAGAAGTAATTGTAATTTCATTACAATGGTACTCAACAAACAAAACGCTTTGATCCTCATTAACACACTCAGACATCATCACTACCAGGTCTACGTGGTCAAGGCAGTACCGCTACAGTTGCAACAATCCGAGGAGCCCAAGAGCCTCCGCAATGAGGTACGTAGCTACGAAGCGAGAATACAGCCATGTCAAAAACAGGAATCATCGGCAGAACGAATTCAAAGATACCTGAAATTTACAAGCAACAAAGTTCTGAGATTGGTAGGAACAACGAATGACAGATCAGAGCCCCTTTAATTTGGCTTATTTGATTACAGCAAAGCACGCAAGGGCTATCTGCTTAAAGGGAGAGATGTCTTCGTGGAGGACTTTTTAAAGGACACTTTCTAAAATACCCGTTACACAAGGAAAGTACGAAAATGCCTATGCAGCCAACTCGTTTGACGGGATTCGAGCCCCTGACCTAACTACC